AATTACGAGATAATCGTCGCTATTTGGACTACTATTTCTGACAGTTGGTATCCGTAGTTATTAATGTAGTGAACGATTAATCAAAAGATATGACGTGTCCAGTACTTAGTGTGATTGGCTGTATGATTGAAGGCCATGCCTTAGAGTCTTAATACTGTTTTGTAATTGGTTAGAGTTTTGAAAATGAATAAAGTTGTTTTAGTTGGTCTTGGCGAGTACATCACAAGAGACCCAGTCCAGTCCTAGAGAGTCTTGGGGCGAGTCTTGAGTCAGCCTTGCGATAGTCTTGGGGACTTTTCCCCAGGGCGCTGTGTCTTATAGCGTGCACGACTGATCGACTAAGACGAGAGTTGAAACGTATTTCGTTGTGTGTGTCTTATTTGACTGTAAAGTATAAGTGACTTCCCCGATCACGTACCTCAAGGGGACGCGATAGAGAGACGAGACGAGATTCCCCCCCCTCCCGACATGTGTGGAGGACCCCAGAGAGAAGAATTTCCCCCTGATATTCGCCCCAAATTTCGCAAAAATATGTTTTCCCAGTTTGTTATTCAGGGGCAGACAATGGGGCTGTTCATCGGAAAAGCTGTTCCAAGGGATTTTTGTTGAGGGCAGGGGATTTTTCTATTTTTTGTAGGGGGCGAGAAATACCAATACCCCCCAGTGGACAGAGCAGATTTCTAAAAAAAAATGCAAGGACAGGGAAACTTTTTTTAGTGGGTAGGATAAACGTACTTATATAAAAAAATATCGCAGTGTGGGCAAAACAGCCTATATAAAAATTAAAAAACGCATTGGGGGAAATAACATCTGCTAAATGTGGACAGCCGTGTGCTATCAATACCTGAAAATGCGAGTCACCGTTGATCTGCTGAGTGGTCAATGTATTCAAAAAGCCCATAAAAGCCAATGACTCAACGACTTTGCATATTGTTTATACTAACTTGGGATTATCTTTCAAACAGTGTGCTGAAAGTGTTCATTGAATGATTTTAGGGCAATGGGGAATGGACATCATCCTCCCCAGGGGAAGACAACACGTTTTTTAATGAGGGGGGTGAATTTGGTCAGCAGAAGGGCAAGTCGGCGGGAGGGGAGTAGGCAAAAAAGTGTTTGTTTTTTTAATGAGGGGAGGGGAAAGATGAATTTGGTCAGCAGGAGGGGAAGACAATGTTGTTCAGATGGAGGGTAGCTTATGAACAGCTTTTAATTTCCCCTCTTTCCTTTAAAGTTTCATAAAATAAATATGGTCCCAGAGAATTTACTATTTCAATTTCTTGCTCGTTGGCTGCACCTGGGTATTATTATAATTTAACTGAGACAAATTCACCACAGCTTGGCCAGTTTAACTTGAACACTATATAGGGATTTCCTGCGTGCCAATCGTTAATACTTTGTTTTGATTTTTGTTCATTTACTGGTAACAGAGATTACTTGTTTTTGGTGAGGCGAGATCTGGTAAAATAGAACATTTTGATTAAAATTGTACACTATTTCATCAGAATCGCTATGACAGTGACTAATACATTTTCAATCCGAAAATAAATTTGTGTCTGAAGTGCCGATTTAATTATGAATAACATCGTTTTTGTTGTGCGAAAAATTTGAAATATTGCCCATTTGATTATTTGAGTCACACCACTGTGCGATTTACGGCATTTTGTTATTGCATGCTCTTATTGTTGTGTCGGCTTCTATTGCGCGCCAACTTCACAGTGGTCAATAAACGCTACTTCCCGAGAAATGTATGCTTTTTGAGCACTTTCCCTTGCAGAGTCTTCGGGCTTATGACCTAGGAAGCCACAGAGAGTGACAACTCATGGCGTTCCTCAGCGACTACCTAGCTTAGTGATATAAAACCACTACTTTTCCAGGTCACTTTCATGACCCGGAAGAAAAGCGCCCCCAGTGTAGTGATTACTACGGGCTACTGCGCTTACGTGTGTGCGTGTGTGTCATCACATTGTCATTGGTCATCGTTTGGTGGAGGCGTCAACCTGGTGTGTTCGGTCAAGATCAACAAAGTACATCAATTCTGAACATCAAATACGAGGTAAAGTGATTTTGATTATATGTAGACCTAGCTGCAGTTCTGTAGCTCACGATTCCCGGTCTTCGGGTTAGGGGGGAACCGTGGAGCTACAGCACGAAGCCTTCAGAATACGAGAGAAGTCGGCCAATCGCCAAGTCGACCTGCAGGAGAAGTCGGCCAGTCACCAAGTCGGCCGGGCGGAGAAGTCGGCCACTTCAACTCTACTAATAGCAGGGAGACTGTACAAATCTATGTTCGTAAGCTA